GTTGTAAATAAAATTATATCATGCCATACTGGCCATTTATAAATCACTTTTTAAGCTTAGTGATATTAGCAACATTTTATCTTACTAGTATACATTTTATAAAATGTAACTTTTATTGGTCATACAATGGTTTCTACTGCATGTAACAAATCCCTAGTATCCTTAGATACTTGGATTGTTTCCATTGATTCGACAATCATACAGAATACTATGATGTGCCTTTCATTATATATTTTCTGGTAACTGGTTGTTTCATAAAAAAGCTCTTGAACTCTTTTCCTGGTGCTCATGTTATTGTAACTTCTGTCCACTTCGTTGACATACATACTACTTTTCTCTCTGAATTCTAACTTTCTGTTTCAGGTCTTATAATAATGTTCTTAGGATTTCTTTTATCCCTAAAAAATATTTAATAGGCTGAGTATCTGAATAGATAAAGCTTTATAAGCTAAGATTCCATTTCTCTACTACCTCAGTATAATTCAGCAGAACAGAAACACTATTTGCATATTTGTCTCTTTAGTGCTAATTTTTCAGTAGGGGAGAAAGTTGATCTGTTCATCATTAATGATAGAGGTTTCTACACATTTTTTTCTTACTTAGGAAAGAGACTGATAACTCACGACAAGGCCTGGACAATTTCTATCCAAATACACTAGAACATTCTAGTTTTCTCTTTCCCTTTCATTCACACACTCAATTGCTTAACACTTGGACATTATTGGAATAAACCCAAACATGCCCTGAAACTGGTAAATTCATCTTGAATGCTAGACGTTGGATTATGGGGCTCAAAAACATTAAAATGAATTTAGAATGAAAAGAGTCTCCACACCGCCACCAAAGACCTTTTTCTTGTCTTCATGCTTAAGGATAAATTTGTATCTTGCAATTTATTATTTTCTGGCAAATTAATATTTTTGCAAATAGTGCCACAGAAGAACTGGTATTTTAGGAATGATGGCCATTTGAACTTTGCCATTTTCTGAAGACACTTGCATTTTTTGGTGAACTTTTCACACACATGTTCATGGAGCTATCACACCCCCAAGCTGTGAAGTTGGGATGCTAATATGAAAGCCTTGCATTGATGGGAAAAGAACATAAATTAGCTTGGGAGCTTTTCACCAAGATTGGATGAAATGTCACCTAATTAAATGAGATCCTGAATTGTGAGAACAAGACCCAGCTTAAAAGAAATCCAGATAGAATACTGATTTTTCCTGACAACGCTTGTGAGGGGAAGAAGAGATCCATCTTTACATTCAGCATGAAACTGAAGGACCATGAATTGCCAGCAAGGAATGCACATTAATCAGAGTGTTGGTGGCAACCATAAATTTTGACCCGCTAACTGGACTCAGGAGAGTAAATGAGTCATTTGTACCAGAGCAAAGCTCATGCAGAATGCACGCTGCAAGCCTGGGGAGCAGCCAGCCACGTAAAAGTCTCATCCTACTCACAGGACTGAGGCCTTTGGGAGAGATAGATTTGCTACTTCAGGAATACCACCAATTCTGCTTTGCTTTGATTTACGCTCACTCTAGTTGTAAAGAATACATGCTTGTCTCACATACTTTCACATAGTCTTTTTGGAGTCATTCTTCTACATCCCTCTTGCTTTTCACACCTCAATCTTTCCTTTACATCCCAGGCTCCCCACCTCCTTTTTTTGTAAACAAATATACATAAAATTTCCCAATTTAAGTGTGCAGTATTTTTGCTCTTGTAATAGTGCCACTGTGAGGTTGATGTAAATTTTGAAACTACCATTAAGAGGAAGAGGGCTAAATTTAGAACTGAGAAATTAAAAGCAAGGGCATTCTGAGTTTAGACTAAAGCTCCTGGAAGTTAGAACAGTGTCTCCATTAGCCTCCAGATTAACTTGCCTTGTTTGTGATCTGACAACTGTTAAAGATTAGTCCTAGAGTAAGAGTGGTGTCTTTACATTCTTTCTTTCCACTTTCCCTTGTTTTAATTCTGGGACCCCTAAACTAGCTTTAAACTGCTCAAATCCTGTTCCTGATAGATGACCTTAACTCTAAAACAAGAACTGGCTTGGAGAATCGCGAAACTTAACTCTTAAAATACCCAAGGTCCTCAAAAAACAATGGCACATGTTTTTTTGATGTTGTTTTGTTTTCATCAAAGCCCTTTTATGCCTCTACAAGGGCTCAATAAAGAATAGAGTTAGTGCCAACCCAGGACCATTAATAGGACAGTTCTTTATAATTTATTATTTAGATGAACATGTTGAACTTGGTAACTGGTTTCCACCATGAATGTAAAAATCATTTGTGCAGAGAATTTCTTAATGAGCAAGGAAATGAATGCTTCTAAATTTCAATGTTTATTTTTTAAAGTAGATCATATTCATAGTTTCACCTTTGAAGAATTTGTTTTCATTTTAGAGGGCTTTTTTGGGTTTTTTTTGTTTTGTTTTGTTTTTGTTTTTGTTCATTTGGCAATACTGGGGTTTGAACTCAAGGCTTCACACTTGCAAGGCAGGCACTCTACCACTTGAGCCACATGTCCAACCCAAATTTTTTAAATTTTAAAGGTAGATTTCGAGGTATAGTTTATGTTAAATTATCTTTTTACTCTTTAACATAAAGTAGCAGCGATCATTATACTTTTTAAAAAGTTAGAAATAAGCACTTAATCAGTGAATTTCTGATATAAATAACATAGTATTTATGGATATGCAGTTCCCCCCTCCCCCCTTATATTCTCAATGACTTGGAAGTCGCTTCATTTGTAAGTATTCAAATTGTATCACATAAGGTCATAGAAGATAAACAGCTTTCCTCTGGGGTATGTTTTGAACATAGTGGGACTCTAGGACTAAATTGGGTTGAAATGTTGATAACTTCATTATTGAGTTCTTGTGCCTTTAGCGAATTTATGTACCTGATGAACAGCTTTTTTTTCTGAAGCATCTTAACTCCCACTTTCCAGGAATTAAAAAAATCAAAATCATTGCTTGGAAAGTATATTCCACAAAATGTTTATACTCAATAGATGTAACCTTAATCTACTTTGTTCATAGTGGGGGTTTCTCCTACTTTGAAAGACTTTTACAAATAAAAAGGCAGAATGCAATGTATCTATCATTATGACTACAATCACACTATCTTAATTATAGGTTTGTACTGAAAGAATAAAAATGTTACAAGAATGTTAATTGCATGATAAAGTTTTACTTATATTCTGATTAGAGTTTCTGAAATCACATTTTCTAAAATATGACAGAACTACAGTGTTAACTATGACTTACTTAAAGGTGGGAATGCAAGTATGCTTTCCCAAGAATCCTGGCGAAATATTTGCTGTTTTGCAAACCCATCATGGTTGAGCAAGAATATTCCTAATACATTTTTCATACCTTTTCAGAAGAACAAAACACCTATTTTGATAATAAGTAGAATTCAGGTAGAGTCAGAACTCAAAATTCCAAGAAAATGAGCTCAACATGAGTAATTCAGGCCATAGTTTTTAATCTTGACTGCATAAAAGAACCCTGGGCATCAGCATTTTAAAAAAATCTCCCCGAATGGGCCCAAGTCAAGGTTGAGCACCACCAGTTAAGAGAAAGTGGAAAGGGAAACCAAGTTAGGAGAGTATTATGATCAGCCAATAAGACTTCAGCGTGGAAGTTAGCAGTGCAATATTCAGAGGTACAGGACTTCTGTTCCACACCAGGGAGAAAATGCAGCAAAGACACCATCTTAAAAGTGGTGGTCGATACCTGGAGAGTGGATGAGTTTCCTATTGAAGAGAAGCAGGTATAAATCTTTGAAGGGAATCTTTTGACATGATGTCAGAAATGAAGGACTGAGAATTTTCAAGTATGATACATGAATATCTCAAGAGCAATTAAGAACACATATAGCAATGCAAACTTGTAGAAAGATTCAAAAATATGTTCAAACATCTTTGTCTCTGAAATATTTTTGCAAATGTATGCTTACTGGGTTGCTTCAAAGTTATACTTTATAAAAGTACTTTGAGACCTAAGAAAAATAACCAGATTTATGAAACAGAAAACAGGTTCTAGCTCCAGCTCCACCTCTTCTAGCCAGCTGACTTTGGGTAAACCACTTACTGGTTCTCACCTTTTCTGCTGTATTAAGGAGGAATGACAGTGCATGGCCTACTTACTCCACAGTTTTGTTATTCTCTAAAGTCAGATAATAAAAGTGAAAGTATGTTTTAAAATATGCCCAATTATACAATGAATTAGTGACATTTTTGCTGCTGTTCGCACACAATTTAGTACTGAGATGTTTTGAGAAAGTTGTAGTCCTGGCAAAGGGAAACCAATACAAAAGAGACCCTTTTATGACAACCTTTGAAACACACTATGCTAAGGGAAGACAGGACATGGAAATAACTATAAACACATCCCTTCTATGGCAGCAGGAATCAGTCATATCACTAATGTGCCCCCATGCTTAACTCAGTGCTTGAAACCCAACAAACTCTTCTCTTTGTTTCTGGAAGTTGATGAACTAATATAGTACAAGGTAAAAAATCATTTAAATAAAATGCTATAATGGTTTAGACAAAGGAGAGATTCAAATCCTGGCACATTGCCTGGATCATAGCAATATACAAAGAAATATATAATGAATGATGAATGATGGTCAGAAGAGGTGGACCATGTCCCTAAAAACTACTTTAGTTTACCTGCAGCAAAAAGGAGTTGAAACTATTTCAGAGACAAAACTTAGAATTTATAGCAAGGGAAATAAATGAATTTTAGGAATAAATAATTTAGGAAATCTCTAAATTGTGGAAAGCCAAGAACAAAGAGTGATGGACCAGAGAAAACACCTTAAAAAATGACGACACCCTACAGGATAGCTTTACAGAACTGGTCATGACTACATCTTCCCCAGGGCAGGGTATCACTGTGTTCAGATGTGTGCCTGTAACATGTGCTGCCATGGTCTAAACATGAAGGTGAAGACCCTGACCGTGTCATCTTCTGTCTGTAGGAATAGATAATCTCTATGAGAGGGCGCTTCACATCCGCAAACTCCTCTTGACCTTGCCCAGGTCGGTCCTTATAGTGATGAGGTACCTGTTTGCCTTCCTCAACCAGTAAGTACCCAAAATGCCTATCTGAATTCTGTCTGTGCTCCTAGATCCTATAAAATGTGCACTGTGCCCCGTGTATCAGCAAAGTTAAAGAGAATGCAGAAACTGACAAGACATAATTGCAAAAACATCCACATATTTCTAAAAATAACACTTGCCAGTGAAATGTTTTTCCAACCTCCATCCAAAGCTAATGTCACAAATGCTTTTGTCAAAATGATGTAAACTGCCTACTCATTGCAGAAAATTTCTGTGACTTTTTTTTTTTTTTGTAGTAGTAGTGGGATTTGTACTGAGGGCCTCACACTCGCTAGGCAAGCGCTCTACCACTTGAGCCGCACCACCAGCACTATAACTTTTTAATGTCATAGTCAGGGATGGAGATAAACTATAAATGGGATTTAGACACAGAATCAAAACTGAATTTGAAACTTCACCATAGTTAGACCTTGTCAAGAAGAAAATATTTCTAAAACAAAGTAACAGAAATCTTAAAAGTCATTGCATTATTTTCAAAGGAACTTCTCTTAGTTAGGCAACTTGATTTTTCAGTTACACTGTTTCCTTATATCTGGGCCCTATGATGTGAACATCTTTTCTGAGTCCTAGCCCAAGTCCGTATGCTATGCAACAATTCTGTTGAGTCATTGGAAATAAAGAAAATCCAGGGAGAGTCAACTCTTGAGTAAGCTTGGGGAAATGTCTTCTCATTCTGGCGTGGATTTTCCCTTCCTGAAATTTAGACTTTTTTTTCTTACCTTTTGTTTTACTGGAGGTTTTGCTTCTTAGAAACCATGGAGATTTATTACATCCCTGCTGACTAGTCCTGACATCAAACCCCCTCAAGTTGGCTCCAAGAGCCAAGTTTTATACAATAGGGGAATGCTAGTGGAGAACCAAAGAGAAGGGGGCTCTGTTGTCCCACCCTGTGGTGCCTAAAAATTCCCAGATGACAGTGGGAACCCATTTGTTCAGAAGTCACCACTGGAAATAATCAGGATTCGTGAAGATGGGTTTAAACTATGTTTAGGTGAAGCAGATGCTGCACATTTTATCTTTAAATAAACCTAGCCAGCTGTCAAAATCCAGGGACTTGCCTTCTTCACCTGTCATTGCATGCTTCCCCACACCCACATCCCACTGACTCTCTACATGCTGTTCCTATGAAATTTTCCTGACACACCTAAGCAAAACCCACTGTGAACAAATGAACCACAATGGACTTGGAGACCAATCCATTGATTAAGAAGACTCTTGAAACCTGAATCTAACTCATCATGAATCTCATAGGAATGGAAAAAGCACTGTGACTCAGATAGCTGGCATGGCTTCTGATGGTTCTATCCAACCATGCCCCCAGCTGCCTTCATACAGAGATAAGGGCCCAACCTTCAGCCAGAGTGCTTGAAACACTAATTTTGAAAAACTTGGAAATAATCATTTTATATCAAGTTTTTGCTGTTCAGGCCAGGACTAAAATGAAGCCCTAGAAAGATAACTCTCCCCCAACTGAGCTCAAGTGTGTCTTTTGAAAATTAGACCAATTTTATTCTGAACCTCCTTCCCTCCCCCTGCTCCCATTTTCAAGATGATCTATGATGAGATCACTTGCTGAGGTTTTTTAAGATTACATGTTTGAGAGCTGGCAGAAGGGAAGGACATATGTTAGCTGTACAAATTATGTGCTTGTGTTTCCACTTTCTAGAATATCTTATTTCTCAAAAAACGGTAAAGTATCATGTCAGGTGTTATCTCAGTTTCTTTGTGTTTGTCATCATCTCACAAAGGTAGTTGAGTCTCCTTTTTTGCCTTCCACTTGTCATCTGTTCCCCTGGATTTTACATTTCCTTTCAAGTTTGACATTCTACACGCCGAGAGATAATGTCTCAAACTCTGCCTATCACAGCAACTTGCTCTTGTGTTAGATGCATGGCAATAAAGAGCTGGCTCATTTCGAGTCACCTGTGAAAATACTTCATAAATATCTATTACATTAAGTTTAGATATTAGTGCAAGACAACTGAACATCTCCTGCAAAGTTTTTCTGCCTTAAATGAAATAAAAGAATTAGGATTCTTTCCTCCTTGACTTGTACTTTCAATGTGTTTTATAACACAGGTCATTGCCTGTTGTTAGTAGACTTATCCAAAAGCACTGCAGAAAGCCTGCAGTTGTTATTTGCTTTCCTTAGGTAATTACACAGAAAAGACTCTTTTCTTCTAGACTTTCTCAAGATTTACAGGAAAAAACTGAAATGTGAGATAATTTGGGGCAGTGGGAAGACAAATTTAAAGACATCCACAAAGCTTTGTGGAAATTGTACTGTCCCTCCGAAATTTACTTGAGCAGCATTTAGAGCCTGACCATATTTACAAATGAAACTCATCTACTTAATCCCATTCTCCATTAAAGACTTTGAAAATACTGCTTAATTAAGCAGTGAAGACATATTCCCCTCTGAGTTTCTACCTAGTTGAAAGTCATTTTACTGTCTTTGGAGTTCACTAAGTCAACTTGTTCTTTTCAACTTCTTTCTTGCTTCCTTTCATAGTCTTTCACAATACAGTGATGAGAACATGATGGACCCTTATAACTTGGCAATTTGCTTTGGCCCAACATTGATGCCTGTCCCTGAAATACAAGATCAAGTGTCTTGCCAGGCTCATGTGAATGAAATTGTCAAGACCATCATCATCCACCATGAGACTATTTTTCCAGATGTTAAAGAATTGGATGGCCCTGTTTATGAGAAATGTATGGCTGGAGATGACTACTGGTAAGTCCAAGAATTCTAGTCCTCTCACAAAAAAAAATTATGGAAGTATAGCTGTCAATAGATTTAGGAAAATGAATTGCCTATATGCCACCAATGCTTCTAATTTTTAAAAAAAAAGAAACAGTTTTTTAAAAAGAAGCAGCAGTAGCATTTGCAATAACTTGGGATACTAAGATCCATGGCAGTGCTATTTATTATGGAAGTTCATATTTAACCCTGTTGGCCTGGAGGTATGGCTCAAATGGTAAGAGCACCTGCTTTATGAGCATGAAGACCTGAGTTCAAACCCCAATCCCACCAACAACAAAAAAAAAAAATCAACATATTTATCCCTATCTGTTTCTCAAAGATTGTATCTTTTTTAGATAAACCTATCCTATCATGGCTTTGTAGAGAATACAACTATGTTAATTTTTATTATTATATTATGTCAAGAAAAGCTAATTGAATGAACAGATTTCATTTTTAATAAGATAGTCTTGATTTCATATAAGTATTTTAAAACTCTTACTTTAAAAGAGCCATGTCAATCAAATGTTTTTATTTTTACTTATTTTCATTCTCACTCTTACTAATATTATTCTAACCAATTATAGTAGCAAAGGTCATCATGAGCAAATTTATCATATTATTGAATTTGGGGAATTTTTTTTTTTTTTTTTTTTTTTTGCAGTACTGGGGCTTGAACTCAGGGCCTACACCTTGAGCCACTTCACCAGCTCTTTTTTTGGATGGGTTTTTGCGAGATAAGGTTTCAAGTAACTATTTGCCCAGGCTGGCTTCAAATAGTGATCCTCTTGATGTCTGCCTTCTGAGTAGCTAGGATTGCAGGCATGAGCCAATGGTGCCCAGCAAGAGGAAAAAATTTTAATATGGCAATATTGCCACCTCCCAGTCAAGTGTACAAGTTGGGGTGGTATAATTAATTGAATAATCCCAAAGGTAGAAACACTAAAATGTTTGTGCTCACTATTTGTATGTTTCAACTAATTTCCTAGAAATTATATACGATAAAAGAGATTTGAGCTCATCTAGCCCTAATTACTTTCCTAAGAGTGCCACCTACACATACCACCAATGTATAATTCGGGGATTAACTTTCCAACACATGAACTTGGGGGAACACATTCAAGCCATTGTACTGGGAACATCTGATTCCGAAGCCCACAAGGCTTTCCATGCAGCAGCCTCCTTGTCTACCTTATAAACTGTCCTGTGCAGTCAGGATTCAGCAGCAGCTGGAAAGAGACCTATCAAAATCCCTCATCTGGACCCTACTCAGAACACTGTGTTTCCGTCTTCCTTACAGAGGGAACAAGCAGCCAAAAGATCAAAAACACAGTGAACGCGCTCATATTTTACTTGAACCATAGTGTTGATGGTTAAGGAAACTTGAGTCTTGACTATCTAGAACTACTGCTTTCTAAATTGGCGGCAGAATATACTAGTTCTGTATATATCCAGCAACTTTACACATGAAATTCAATTCAGAAATATTTACTTGAACACTTATTATGTGCAAAAACTGACTGAAGATTGGCTCTGGGAAGGTAAATGAATAAAACTCAGTCCTGCTAAGATACATAATTTTATTTTCATAATCATATATGTTTTAAGGCCAATGTTGAAGGCATGTTTAGCATTCCCAAACATTAAGACTGTATCAGTAACATCTGCTATCTCCTTCATTTTGAAAAAAATCAAGTATTTAGATATCTAGTCAATATTATTCCATGTGTTGTATTCTTGGACATTTTGCTGTCACTACTTTTTCCATACAAGGAAAAAGTCTTGCAGTCCTCAGCATAGGTTTGAGTATATCCTCTGCTTATAGATAATGTTTTATATGGGAATCACTCATTTTAAACAGGAAATCAATAATAAAGTAATTATCCTTGTCAACCGACTTCAGCACTATAAATGGACTTTTACAGTGATATCAAGTTTGCATTTGTGACCAATGCATTTATCTCTCAGTGTACATTTGAGGAGATGGAGTGGTTGTGTTAAAGAATAAATTCTAGACGATGATAAAAATCATGATTCTCAAGCAGATATAAAATGAACGTGCATCAAGAAATGACAGAAAAGATGCAACAGTCAGTTAACAGACATCAAAGAACCATTTATTTATATGTAGAAAAAGAATGAGGAATTGAATTTTCAGAAGCTGGTCTGTCTGTAGGGCGGTAACCAAACATTCTAACTGAATTCACATATTTTACATTTCTTTGGTTAAGGATTATTTATAAATGTATCAGCTTTCTATAAGTTAACCCCTGTCTTAATAGAATTGTAAAATAACCTAGTCAATATATATATGCATATATATATGTATACATATATCCACAAGAACCAGATAATCAGTGGAGTTCTAGCATTCTACTGACAGACTACCCAGTAACTTTTTTGCCATTGAAAATCTCATGTTTTCCTTACAGTAGAATTTATTCATTTAGAAATGCATTTAAAAAAACTCTCTCCAGTTTGGTTTCATATGAATTTCTATTTCTGCTCCTCAGTGACAGCCCATACAGTGAGCACGGTACATTGGAGGAAGTGGACCAGGATGCTGGTACAGAGCCCCACACCAGTGAGGACGGTATGCCTTGTGTTCATGCTACTATAAAACCAGTCTTCCTGTCCTTTATTCCCTAACAGTTAAGTTTCCCAGGCTTCTTTTGTTTGGTTTAGTTTGGTTGGCTGGGCTTTCTTTTTTTTCCTTTGATATGTCAGAGTGCTCTGTGGGTCTGGATCCTCTGTGTAAGCATTCTTTGTGGTCCTTTATTGAGTATAGGCTTTGCATTTATCTTCAGCTCTGAAGCTTATCTTTTTGTATGCTTCTTATGCCTTTTGCTGAGCAGAAACAGAGATAGGCTCTTCGTTTTAAAGCAGGTGAATTGATCTCTTCCTGTGCTCTGTTCTTTTCCACTGGCCTTTTTGTCCCTATATAACTGTCTTAATTTTTATACCTATTAAAGATCTGTGTCTGCAGGTGAGGCTCAGGTGGTAAAGCACTTGTCTAGCAAACACAAGGTCCTAGGACCTCAAAACAAAAAAATCTGAATACTTAGCAAAGCAAGACCTCTGACTTTGTGCTTTTTAACAGTTTTTGTCCCTTTGCAATTACACACAAAATTTAAACTCAGATTTTCAAGTTCTTAAAAAATAATTTTGTGATGGGTTTTTTTGATATAGGGTCTCACAAACTATTTGCCTAGGCTGACTTCGAACTGCGATCCTCCTGAGTAACTAGGATTACAGGTGTGAGCCACCAGTACCCGTCTATTTGCAATTCTTATATCTACTGCTTGGTCATTTTTATAGTCTTTTGCTGTTTGCCCATAATATCAATCCTGTGCACTCTCAGATTATTTGTCTGATAATTGTAATACACATTCCCAGATTTTTGTTGGCTGTCACTCAGTGAGTCTTGTTTTGTTTGTATTTTTTTTTCCACTTATTTCTTGGAGCTTAAGGCTCAATTGAAGAAGATAGGTTCTTTCCAGAAAGGGTTTTCTTTTATATCTGCCTGGGGACAACCAGCCCAGGACACTAAATCTTTCACTTGAGGTTTTCCAGACCACCAGGTATTGAACTCAGGGCCTTGCGCTTGCTAGGCAGGTACTCTACCACTTAAGCCACACCCCCAGCCCTTTTTGCTTTGGTTATTTTGTAGGGTCTTGCTTTATGCCAAGGCCTGCCTGGACCATGAACCTCCTGTTTACACTTCACACATAGCTGGGGTGACATTACACCACTGCACCTAACCACTGGTTAAGATGGGGGTCTCAAGAACTTGTTGCCCTGGCCAGTCTGCAACTGAGAGTCTCATGATATCCGCCTCCCCAGTAGCTAGGATAACAGGCTGATCATGGCCTAGAAGATATTGTTTAAAATAAAAACTTCTATTTTTATGATGTTGCTTTTGAAAGTCTCTGAGCCCTTCCTCTGCCACCATCCTTTCTTTTGTCTTGGGTTTCTTTGTTTCTCTATATGGTTCATTCCTTTTTCTCTGTAGACTTCTCTGTGTTTTTGCTTTCTCAAATGGCAGGAAAATCCAAGACAAAGGCCCAGACATCTTTCTTCCCAAATAACATTCTCAACACCATGCCATCTGTCAGTTGTTCTTAACTGCTTGACTATAAGAGAGCTTTGAGTGCTGTGTTTTAGATATCATTTAGATCGTGTTCACCTGATTTTGCTGGAAGAAAGAAAAGCATTGCTTACAAAGGACAGATATTCCAACCCACAGCCAACGTCAAAAGTGCTATGGCTAAATTAACTAGAATATTGATGACCTTTTTGATTGTCAGATATTATATTGTCTTTTCTCTGTTATGGTATGACTAGAGACAGTGGCTTGTATTTCAAAATAGGCCGTCACAACACCACCATCCTCTGCAAGGGCAGTAGGTAACAGATAGAGGAAGAAAAGGATGGGAGATAGTAAAGTCCCTATGATGTACTAACATTATACCAAAATTATAAGAGATGGAAATGTAAGACTTGATAACACCAGGCTATCAAGATATCAGCTCTGCTGCACTGCCCCCTTGCACAAAATTATAAGAGCCACGCAGGAAACCTAAGTGATCATGTTATACCCTCACTGCCCCTGCTCTTGATAACAGCAGTAGCAGCGTTCCCTAAAGTCTCCACAGGACCTTAAAGGATTATGAGACTCTGCATGAAAGGGCGTGGTACGCCATGGCCTGGAATTGATTTGCTATGCAATGCCTACGTTAAGATGTGTGTAAATAGCTTATTGATTGACACTTGACTGTGCAATTGTTCCCAGGAGAGTAGAAAGAGTCAAAATAATGAAATTGCTCAGAATTACTAGTTGATATACTGGGATTACCAATAAAGCATTTTTTGATTCATTTGGTCATTCTTTCACAACTTGTCCACATTTCAACAAAATAAGCAGAGTCTGATGATCCAACTGAAGTTGTTTCAAAAAATAGTAAGTGCTTGCCTTGGCAGCATAGGTATAAAAAAGTGGAACAATGCAGAGAAGATTAGCATGGCTCCTACACAAGGATGATGGGTACATATGAACTAAAAGTTATATTACAATAATATTACTATTATTATCACAAATAATAGTAATAAGAAGAAGACATTGTGATAATAGAAGTCATGACATGACCTTATATTTTATGAAATTATGATGAAATATGTATGTATCTGTTAAATTATCTTAAATAGCTCTTGGCCAGCATTAGGAGTGTATTATTGAATGTCACTAAAGAACATCAATAAAAAAAAAATTTTCTTAATTAAAAAAAGAACATTAATAGTTCTCTCTTCATTTCTCCTTGACTTAGTGTATATGGATTTTATATCATATAATGTGCACTATCTTTTACTTTTTAAAATAAAATCAAACAGAAATGTATGGGTGTGTTCACATAGTAATTTTCAAACTGCAAATCATGAAGTTATTTTTTAATAAATTAGCATGTCTTCATTTCTCTAGTGGACATGGGTATTTCTGTCTGCGAGAGAGAACTGAAGTAGAAATTTTGCTGTCTGTCATCTCAGATCAACCAGGATTGATCCTTGATTATTCATCTGCACATTTAGCACAAATCTTTGAATGTAAAGAGATGACTCTATGAAGAAGACTTATATAAATTATCATTTATGCTGTTTTAATAAAACATGAGTTTAGGTGAAAATATCAAACATATGAACTAAAAGTTATATTCATTGCTAAGTGACTTAAACTGTTGTTTTAAATTTAAATTAATTTTACACTTTTATATGCAGATCATACAATGTGTTCTGGTACCTCAATATGGAATATTATTTACCTCAAAAATACCCACTAGCAAAAAGATAGTTCATTTTTCTTTGTTTTAGAAAGTGTTGCTGAGGCCAGGCACTGGTGGCTCACACCTGTAATCCTAGCTGCTCGGGAGGGGGAGATTGAGAAGTTCAAGGTTCCAGGCCCCCATCTCAATGGAAAATTCTGGGAGTGGTGGCAACACGCCTGTTATCCAAGCTACACTGGAAGCATAAATAGGAGGATCATAGTTCAGGCAGGCTCATGCAAAAAACAAGACCCTATCTCAAAAGTAACCAGAGAAAAAAGGGCTGCAGGCATGACTCAAGTGGTAGAGTGCCTGCCTAGCAAGCACAAAGCCTTGAGTTTAAACCCCAGTACCACAAAAAAAGGTTTTGCTCAAATTTTTTTCAGTGTTTTGTCAGTTTTTATGCTTTTACTCTGTATATCTCAGAAAATTTGAATTTATCGTGAGAAAATAAACCTAGCTATCTTTATCTAAAATTTTCTCATGGTATTGTTACATGTGAAAATAACACATATTGCAGTAAACTCTTGGAAGAGTAAATTCTTTTAAATGGAAAGATTTGTTACCAAGGGAAATAGAAAACAATTTCCTGAAGAATTTTTGAGAGACAGGCAGGATTTGATCTATTATTTGTACACATGTTCTAGAGTCTTTTGGAACTAATACATGGTCAGTTTTTAAGAAATGCTCATTGTGTAGATATATTTCTATAAGCATATGCCCCTCACCCTTTTTGTTTCTGTTCATTATTGATTGGAAGTTTACTCACCTGTATTGACACAGCAGGAGAAGGATGAGAGGAAAGATATCATTAGGTCTCAATTAAGGACATTTTTATACAAAACTAAACCACAAAAAGCACATCTTAGAGTGGTCTTATTTGCTTTCAGTATTTGGTCACAATTAGGTCAGAGTTGAATTCCAGTTCTAAGCATTATGTTCAGTATCTTTTTGAAAGATTTTCATTGCAAGTTCTTGGTAGATTTTAAGCAGCTGTAAGAAACAATACAGAGAAATCCCAGATACCGTTCTCCCTCAATGGTAGTATCTTGCATAACTATAGTACAGCATCACATCCAGGAATTCAATGTGGATACAGTCTGTCCACCATAGTCACACTGCAGCAGTTTTCCCTGCACTCCTTTGTGTGTGCTTCCTTAGTTCTGTATAGTTTATCACATGTACAGATTTGTGTAACCGCAGTCCTTGTCAAGAGCGATTCCAGTGCAAGGATTCCTTGTGCCACCCTTTATAGCCATAGCCACTTCCACCATCGCTCCTCCACCCCGGCAGCTACAAATCCATTCTCCATCTCTAATTAGGCCATGTGAAGAATGCTGCATAAGTGGAATTATATGGCATGCAACCTTTGCAGAGTTGACTTTTTTCACTTACTGCTTTTCCTTCAATAATCTTTCAATCTCTAGAAAATAGTTTTTTAATCTAATCTTTTAATTTGGAGAAAGGGAAGTCGAAGGTATGCTTGTTTCATAATTTAGACCTGAAATTGTTACAGAGTGAGAGAAAAAGTTGTCATTACTTTTAATGGGAGCTGGAAGTTTTGGGGTATTTTTTTTTTTTTTTGGTGGTACTGGGGCTTGAACTCAGGGCCTCACACTTGCTAGGCAGGCACTCTACCTCTTGAGCCACTCCACCAGCCCGTTGAAGATTTGATAATACCAAAAAGCCCATGAGGAAATTAAAAGCACTCAAATAGTATTTCTTGTTTTGATTGTACTTGATTTTTTAAAAATAAGCTAGTAAAGCATAAACTTCCTAGTGTTTTCTGGAATGGTGAGTTTTCTCTGTTATATGGTATTATAACAGAGAAACTCTATCAATGTCAAAACAATATTGGAGGAACAGTGGAGGATATTACCCAAGGAGAGATTTTTTTTTTAGACATTGTATTGCAAAGTTAAAATATCTTTTATGAGACTGTCATTATATCTCTCATAAGAGGTTGTGGAAATTAAGATCTGCCTGAAAAACTGATAGCAGCCAGAGAGCATTTTTCATATTTCACATAACTACCTCTTTCCTTCTGCCCTGATGATTTGTTTATTGCCCTGTCCACTCTAGATGTTAAAATGTCCTGTTTCTAAAGCCTCATGTTGACCTCTCGGAGAGCGTGCCATGCATTCCTCACAACCCTGACCCTCCCCTGTTTCTGGTGTGTTCTTTGTAGAATGTGAGCCAATTGAAGCAATAGCCAAGTTTGACTATGTTGGGCGATCCGCCAGAGAACTGTCCTTCAAGAAGGGCGCCTCCCTGCTGCTCTATCACCGCGCATCGGAAGACTGGTGGGAAGGCAGGCACAACGGCATCGACGGGCTGGTGCCTCACCAATACATAGTGGTGCAGGATATGTGAGTAGTCCCAAATTCCGTTGCCTGGGTGCTCCCAATGGCAGGCTCTAGCTACAGTTCTTAAAGTGACTTGGCTCTTGTGAGGAAAGAACAAAAGAGGTTACAGAAAGAAAACTGAGCCAGGCACCATCTTGCACCATCCTGGTGGCGCTTTGCTAGCTGCACTTTGGGACTGATGATATTTGTTTCCCAAACTCTACCAGGAGGCTTGGAGCAGCACCTAGTGGGAATCATCTTTTGAAGCTTTCAGCTTCTTAGAAAAATAATCTCTGCAGGGAATGGCTTTAAGAGCTGAAGTGACACTGGTAATTTTTTCATAACAGCTGTGCTTTTCTCTTGATGTCTGACTACTGCTTCAATCTCAGATTCCCAAGAGGGAGGGGGCTGGTTGACAATCTCAGCAAATCACCCCTGGGCTTTTGTTGTTCTTGTTTTACCTTTGCTGGTAAGAAAGTTCTGTTTTCAAAAATATTTAAAGATAGGGAAAATGGTCAGAATAAGTGAAAGAAACAGGCTACAAAATAATGTACAATAAAATCCTTATTTTCGGAGTACAATATTTCACAGTGACTATCCATTTAAATGTAGCTTTTCAAGGAAAAGAGAAATATTCTATGTAAGATGTATACAATGCTTTAGCATAATTTTAGAATGTTAAAATATATAGATCATAGCCCAAGAGATATCGTGTACTTATAGATATATGGTCAGATATATCTCAACTATCTAAACATACAGATATCGGTCATCCAGAGTGTAAAGACTGTACATAAGCAGGCACACACTCATAGATATGTATTCCCAGGTATACAAAGAAGTGTAGAAGGATATTTCTTAAAATTCTAGCAGTAGTTGTCTCTAGATGTTATGTTAGAGTTGATTAGTATGTCATTCTTTCCTTGTATATCTGAAATTTCCAGTTAACCTGCAATAAAATTGCATTATGTTTATAATGAAAAGCTACATGTAAATGACTTACATAAATACGATTCCTTATTGTTTTGTTCTCACTCATCTAGAAGACCTTCACTTTTAATTGTCATTGTTTTAGGGATGATACGTTTTCAGACACTCTGAGCCAAAAAGCAGACAGTGAGGCCAGCAGTGGGCCGGTCACTGAAGACAAGTCCTCTTCCAAGGACATGAACTCCCCTACAGACCGTCACCCTGATGGCTGTTTAGCCAGGTAAGTGAAGTCTGGTAACACAGCTTCTAAACCTCCACTTCTCCAGAGTCTGTGAGGAGCCAGCTTGTAGTATTACCCAGTGCGATGAGCTCCTGTTTTTTCTCTTTTTCTGTGAATTTCTAGGCAAAGAAAAAGAGGAGAGCCACCCCCTCCAGGAAGACGTCCTGGCAGGACCAGCGATGGCCATTGTCCTCTTCATCCCCCGCATGCTCTTTCCAACTCTTCAGTTGATCTGGGGTCCCCAAACCTAGGCAGTCACCCCCGAGGCCTGCTACAGAACCGTGGCTTCAACAATGACAGTCCTGAGAGGAGGCGCCGGCCTGGCCATGGCAGCCTGACCAACATCAGCCGACACGACTCCCTCAAGAAGATCGACAGCCCTCCCATCAGAAGGTCCACATCATCAGGACAATACACAGGCTTCAATGATCACAAGCCACTGGACCCAGAAACAATTGCTCAGGTACAATGCTTTTAATGGAATACTGCATTTTTAATACCTGGGCATGATGAATGTAATGTGAAGAATTTACATTCTGTAGTTATGTTCTTGTACAAAGCCAACTAAAGAAAACAGAAAGGAAATTAGCTCATTCTTTGAGGCCTGGCTGTGAGTCTCTGCTGAAGATCCATTTGTTACTGGAACAACTCAAGCATATTAGGTTCGTACTGATTTAAACAGAGACATGGCGGAAATGGAGGAGCTAGGACATTCAAACCCATCATTGCTGAATAGCCAGGAAAATTGTGAAAAAGAAGAATGAGAAAGGAGTAGCCCTAGCAGATCCTAAATACATTCTAATGCTAGCAAAATAGACAAATGAATGGAACAGAATGCAGAGCCCCAAAACAGAAAAATTTTAGTGTGCACTTTCAACTTAGGAAAGGATGATTACTCTATAACGAATGTGATCAGTAATGGTTAGCCATTAGAAGAACAGCAGAACTGGATCCTCTGTGACTCCTGAACACACATCTTCTCTTCCCAACATTGATGCCAAGAGGGGCTCTGTCATAAAACGATATTAATGGATTCGCCTGTTGCTCCAGCACTTTGCTGTCAGGTTCTTTTTACAGCATTGGACGTCGGGAAATACGTTTATAGCTAGTGACAAAAGAGGTATATACATGGTGAGTCTAACATTTGAGTAGTCAAAAGCATCTTCCAGCTACCAGTGTAGCTTAAGAACTATCTGAATATGAGAGATGAGAGAAAGAGAAAGACAGACAGACAATGAGAAATAAATGAAACAAATAAGAATCAAAGATGGATTCTTCTTAATAAAAAGCACCCGAGGAAACCTGCCCTGATATGACAAATTTCTAAGCTATTTTGAGTCCCCTAATGAAAAAGAATTGTGGAGAGCAAATTAGATTGTGTGAGGAGTTTAATGTGTTTTTTTTTAATTAAATGAATTTTAAGTGTATAACAATTTCTCAGCAAAATCAAAATGGCTTTTGACCTTTTGGGGTTTTTCTATTTAGAGTGCTGTGCAAGGCCCTCTGAGACATACTTAGAAACACAGATATTTGATTAGAGCTGAATTTAATGATTTGAGAAACCCATAACACCATGGCTTATCCTAAGCACATGAAACATGATTTAGGTTAGAGAGACAGAGATTCAGGAGGAGCTAGGGGGTAGGAAGACGTAATAAGGTCTGTTTAACCCTTTGGCTTCTAGAACCAGGAAGTCCTTTTATTATAAATCATAAGAACAAAACCTTGGGCCTGGTGTGGTGATACACATCTGTAATCCCAGCCACTGGGGAGGCAGAGATCCTAAGGATGACATTCTTTCTGGGGCAAATACTTGTTAAAAAAAAAAAAAGTATGTTTAACAAATAGAAATCACAAATGAAAATAATTACTTGAAAAATGATGTCACCCTTACACAATGGCTTCAACTTTGTCTTTTGTTCATCTTTCCACCTCTGGTCCTCAGATGTCCTCATGAGGACATAACTGTGTCCATACCCAACATGAAGATGCTATGAAATCCCTGGTGGAGAGTTTTTTAAGGATACACTATCCATATATGATCATCATGTCTTGGTTCATTGGAGACTGAACTTAACATCATATCTGGGCTTATCCATTTAGCACTTACTGTATCCCAAGTCCCATGATAGGCTTTTAGATGAAGAAGTTAAACAGTGGCTACTTCCTTGAGGTGCTTGCACTGAAGTGGGGAGAAGGATATGGAAATGAATTACCATTATGCATAATTAGGCTCCGGGTTAAGTGGGAGAAGTCCTAGGAATAGAGAAGAGACTTTTTCTTTTTTTGACAGTTCTGGGGTTTGAACTCAGGGCCTTGGCTTGCTAGGAGTCTCACTAACTTTTTGCCCCAGGCTGCCCTCAAATCAGGATCCTCCTGATCTCTACCTCCCCAGTAGCTGGGATTACAGGCATGAACCAGAAAAGACATTTTAATCAGACCAGGGCAGATTTTCCACCCCCCCTCACAAAACACTCTACCTCCTTAAAGTTTGTGGTAAAAAGAAAAATCATATAAAATTTACCATCTTAACCAGTTTTAAGTACATATACTGCAGTAATGAATATTCACATTCTTCTAAAAGAATGTGACTGTTCAGAAATTTTTTGTCTTGCGAAACGACATCTCCCTGTCCGCCGAAGACTTTCCCTAATTCCTCCTTTCCCCAGCCCCTGGCAACCACCACCCTACTTTCTATTTCCATGAATTTGACTATGTCAGATACCACACATAAGTGGAGTTAGACAGTATTTGTATTTTTGTGTCTATTTTTATTTCATTTAACATAATGTCCTCAGGGTACACATGTATTGTAGCAGGTGACAGGATTTCCTTCCTTTTTAAAGCTAAATGATTGCCCATTTTATACCATATTTTGTTTATCCATTCACTCATCAATGGTGCATACTTCACCCATTGAAACAAATATTTTGTCATTCTTCTTTTACTATCTGAAGAAAATTGGTTGATATGTCCAATCTAGGGGGAGAAAGCTCTAAATATAACATAGAGGAAAAATAAAAGGAAACAAATATTTAAATAATTAAATGTTTACAATTAGTTTTTAAATTCCTTTTTCTTTCTTATTGAGATACAATAATTATATATATTCATAGGATGCAGTATGATAATTCAATACAAGTATAAATTGTGAAATTATCAAAGCAGGGTAATTAGCATTTCCATCACCTTACATATGTGTCATTTCTTTGTGTTTAGATCCTTCAAACTACTGTCTTTTAGCTCTTCATAAAATATAAAAAGATAGTAAGTAGATAACTGTGAACCCTGTCGTGCTGTAGAACACTAGAACAGATTGCTCCTGTGTATGTGACTTACTGACTACACTAGAAGACAAATGGAATAACAAAATGCATTTCCATAAATGCAACCATTAAAAATGTCCATTGAAGCTAGGCATGGTGGTACATACTTGTAATCCTGGCACTAGAGAGGCTAAGGCAGGAAGATTGGAAGTTTGAGGCCAGCCTGGGCAACAGAGCAAGACCTGTCTCAAAAAAAAAAAAGTTCATCGATATGGCAATATTACATTTCATGAAAAATGTTCCCATTAGTGATTAGCTCAAGTGATAGAGCACTGCCTAGCAAGTGTGAAGCCCTGAGTTCAATCCCCGGTATCAAACAACAACAACAAAAGTGAAATGAGGAGGATTACATTATTTTGAAATAGTAATCCTTGGCTTCAAGGACTAATAACAAAAGTGGCACCTGTCCAAGGTTGAACAGACAGTTGCAGGGCAGATGTCCTTGCAGTAGTATTTCCTTTGTAAGTTCCCAGTGGACTTTGTGCAAGGTCGGGGATCTGGCAGTCTTTTGTGCTTAGTTTTTGTTATCAGACACACTTACATGGGATGCCCTCATTTTAACTTCCCAGTTTCATGTGCATTTTTTTGGTTGGGATTTGACAAATGTGACTCCATTTTGATTCTCACGACTTTCACAGCGTAAAAGATACTTAAAGGTCATAGGATCAAGATGACAAAATAGAATTTCCCATCACTTGTACCTGCCACACAAAAGGGACCACAGTAAAGAATAAACAATTGTAACCCCTATAACTGGAGTGACTGAGAGAATACACTGGAGACTAGAGGAAGAGGTGTGACCCCCACAGAGTGTGAAAAGCCAAGATCATACAGAAAAGAGGAAAGCAAGCCATCTTGCCTCTCCCACACTGTCTCTCACCTGGATAGATTTGAAGCTAAAATGGACTTCTTACAGGGAAAAGATTTGCTGAAGCTCCCAGATGTCCCCATTGGTGCTCCAAGTGACTACACAGGCTGTGCTGCAGCCCTCATAGGCTGCCAACATAGTTTGGAGTTGTCATACAGCTGTACTGCCACATATAGGAGCATACAGTGTTTACCTTCTATCCTCCATGACCTAACCTAACTTTGACACAGCACCATCTTGAAAATGTACCCACTGCTAGAGCCTATTCTGCTCTGGGGTATAGTAGCCACTCAGTATCACCATTTCTGAGCTCTGCTGACATTCCACCAGGTTCACATGAGTGGCTGCAGTACCCAACCTTGCCTGCTCAGAGCCTAGCCCCAGCAGAAAGGCCAACATTTCAACTTCCAAACCCATGCTGTACTTCAGCTGCCAGGGAGCAAGTGAACTTACATGGAGGGGAAGTTGATAGAGCATGGCTTGATAGTCATCAGAGCCCACCTACAGTCAACCAGCTTATAGCACCCACACATACCCACCATGGCCCAACAGACATCCAAGCACCGACTGGTACCCCCCTGGTGGGCCTACTGTACCGTCTGTCAGGTGGAAGCCCTGCCCACCAAAGTCTGCCATATAACTACCAGCCTACAGTGTCTGCTTATATGCATGCCTATCTAAACAATGAGCCAGGTAATAGTCCTACCCCCAGCAAAACTGTGTCACACCATTGCAGTCACAAACACCTGCAGCCTAGGCCAATTATGCAACCACCTACAGACATCACTGACAAGGATTCCAACTGAAAAAATGGCATAGGAATCACTACTAAGTCCATCCAGAATCAAAGCTACCATAACATACTGAACCAGAACCCTAGAATCCACCCATAAGAAAAAGCCTTTCTAGAGCTCTTTGAAAAAAAAATCTGTAATTGGAAATTGTAACTATTGGCAATAGATGTGCAGATATCAACATAGGAATAAGTGAAACATGGAAAAGAGTGGGAGCATAATAATACTCCAGTAGCAGACCCCAAAGAAAAGAACTTCATAGACTGTCTAAAGACAAATTGAAAATAATGATCTTAAGGAAGCTCAGTGTTATACAAGAAATAAAAGCAATTCAATGAAATCAGGAAACCATTCATGATCTGAAAGAGAAATTCAACAGAGGTAGAGATCATGAAAAAGAACCAAACAAAAATCTCGCAACTGAATGAAATATATATATATATAAAAAACTGAGAGCCAAAATAAGATACTAAGT